TTTCCTATAGACAAAAATTGTACTCTGGGCAGTTTTCTCTTTTCCCTTACTTGTCAAAGTGGCCGAGTTATTACACAGCTCCTCTTGTTTTGGGTGGCTTTTATTGCTAGGTTCCCAGCATTCTTCTCTGTGTTCTCATGTACTAATTCATATAATATTCACAATATGCTATGAGATGGGTATGATATTATCATCAGCTTTGAAATAAGGAAATGAGGTGCAGGGGTGTTATTACCTGCTTCAAGTAACACAGCTGGCGAGGGACAGAGTAAGTCCATTACGCTCCCTGGCTTCTTGTAAATGGCAGGCCCATGATGGAGGAGAGCTGTCCATCCCGCCTTCTCCTCTGAGTCTGAACTGTGCTTCCAATTACATTATTTTAGAACATCTACTCTCTTGTTTATTTTCCTCTGGATACTCTCCTGTGTCTCTCTACACTTGTGTTCCTCTGACATGAACTTGATGCTCTAAATTATTTTGCATCTAATACTTCTATTAACACAGTCTAACATAGTGTGAGGTGAATTTTCCTTTTGTTTGGCAGCCAAATTGGAGTTACAGTTCGTCTTAAGTTTTTTATTCACCCAGCTTGTCCGGGCTGCTGTGGTAGCAATCTGACTGGTCTCCCTGGCCCCCGCCCTTACCCCCTTGGTGTCTGCTCTCTTATTGGCAATGAGAGTAAATCACTTCTCGGCTGGAAGCCCTCCAGTGTCTTCCCACATTACTCAGAGTAAAAGCCAAAGTTCTACAATCATCTGTATAGCCCTCCTGCTGTGGCCCCCAGCTTCATCTCCATCTTCACCTCCTGCCACTTTCCTTAGGCACAAGGCTCCAGACACAAAGGCCTCTGATGTTCTTGAGACCTGCCTACACCCTTTGCACTCGCTGCTCCCTCTGCCTGGACCAGATATCCAGATATCTTCCCCAGATATCCACATGGTTTTCATCCCTTCCTTCAGGTCTTTGCTCAGAGGTCCACCCTCTCATCCCCACCCCGTCGCTCACCACCCTCCTTTCCTGCTTATTGTGAAGTCATAGCATTGATCATCGGCTGTTTCTTTCTTTCTTCTACCCCATCTCCTATCACATGATATCCACAAGAGCTCTTCCTGTCTTATTAGTGTATACCCAATAAGTAGGACGGCACCTAGCATATAGTAGGTATAGCCAATAAATAATCGTCGAAGCAAGATTCTTGTTTTGGATGCGAACTGTTATTAATCAGAGGACTGCTTCATCCTGTACTTGTGTGGTTGTTTTGAGGACATTTATTTTTTATTTTTTATTTTTCAGTTTCAGTTTTTTATTTAAATTATAGTTAGTTAATATATAGTGTAGTATTGGTTTCAGGAGTAGAATTTGGTGATTTATCGTTTACATATAACACCCAGTGCTCATCCCAACAAGTGCCAACCTTAATACCCATCACCCATTTAGCCCATCTGCCACCCACCTCCCCTCCAGCAACCCTCAGTTTGTTCTCTATAGTTAAGAGTCTGTTTTATGGTTTGCCTCTTCTCTCCCCCCCATGTTCATCTGTTTCATAAATTCTGCATATGAGTGAAATCATATGATATTTGTCTTTCTCTGACTTATGTCACTTTGCATAATACACTCTAGCTCCATCCATGTTGTTGCAAATGGCAAGATTTCATTCTTTTTTGGGTTGAGTAACATTCCATTGTATATATACCACATCTTCTTTATCCACTCATCAATTGATGAACATTTGGGCTCTCTCCATGGTTTGGCTATTGTTGATAATGCTGCTATAAACATCGGGGTGCATGTGCCCCTTCGAATCAGTGTTTTTGTATCCTTTGGGTAAATACCTAGTAGTGCAACTGCTGGGTCATAGGGTAATTCTGTTTTTAACTTTTTGAGGAACCTCCATAGTGTTTTCCAGAGTGGCTGCACCAGCTTGCCTTCCCACCAGCAGATGTTTCGGGGACATTTAAATCTACTCGTATAACTTTACATTTTGTTAAATCCCTTACTGAAGTGGAAGATACACTGTATCTTTCTATTTGTTTTTTTACTATTGTATTCTTTTATCAGAAAGGAAATGAGGCAGTTAACATGTGACTTGTTCCTAGTAAATTCCTAGATATGTATTTAGGACCAGAGAGCTATATATTTCCCAAATGCAAACCATATCCTAAAAAATTACATTTTACAGTTGTATCGGGTGTCAAGATCAAAGTCTTCCCTCTACCACTTACGAAATTCACCCTCCAACCCTTTTGAAAAAGGAGAACAGGTTTCCTGCATCTCCAGTTTTCTAATTCTTTTTCTGGGTCTCTGTTCTTTCTCAAAGACAACCATTCCTTTGAGCCCGTTGTGTTTCTGGGTCCCATCCCCTGGGTCTTTAGTGGAGTCCTTCCATTCTCAGCATGGGCTTGGACAGAACACTGTCAGAACAGCAGTATCCTCTCAGTGGAGAGTGAACAAAAATTCCAATGATCCAGTTTCTGCTTGCCATGATGAGCTAGTTCGACAGAATTATTGTGACAGTTCTTCTATGTCTGACTTTTCCAACTTTCTTGGCTTCCAGAATTTTCCTGCCTCACTGTTATCCCAGGCTCCTTGTTCATCTATTTTTAGCTCTCAGATTTCATATCCTGCTTTCTCCATTTCAATTTGATCACGTTAATCTTATTTGCTGCCTCAGTGAATTGAAACTGGACTACTTCCATTTTTTTTCCCCCCTAAACCCAAGAGCTTCATTCAGGAAGTGACCTGAGTAGAGTTTTGTTTCGGCTTTTATTAAAGTAACATTCCAACTCTTTGTTCAGAGTCTCACCTGCTGCTCCCCTTTCTCTTGACTGATTTTTCTCCTAATGCCTATGAGAAGCGAGTGGCTCCCAGCTTCCTCAAATGTGGGAAGTGCTGTACTTGCCTGAAACTCGGAAGATTCACTCATTCCCCCCAACCCTTGCCCCCGTCATCTTTCTTTTAACATTCTTTATCGTAATTGCTTAAATTTGTCAATTACTTTACTTCTTAGAAGGATTGCATATTTTGATTCACATTAAGGAGAGTAAGAAGCCACCTCTTTTTGGGGCACCTGGGTGGCTCAGTCGTTAAGCGTCTGCCTTTAGCTCAGGTCATGATCCCGGGGTCCTGGGATCGAGCCCCACATCAGCCTCCCTACTCAGTGGGAAGCCTGCTTCTCCCTCTCCCACTCCCCCTGCTTGTGTTCCCTCTCTCGCTGTGTCTCTGTCAAATAAATAAAGTCTTTAAAAAAAAAAAAAGAATCCACCTCTTTTTGGTGTGGCAAAATGGCAAAAGCAAATCTGTCATCTTCACTGAAGGCACACGTCCTTCTGCTGCTATTTATTTATACCTCTGTTATTGCTCTTAGACTACTGACTACAACGGAGAGGTCTGTACTCTAGAATCACATGGCATTTCCGGCTCTACCACTTACTAGCTGAATGAGGTTCAGCAATTTATTTAAGTTCTCTGAGCCTCAATTTCATAATCTGTATAATAGCGATTTAAAAAAGAAGATTTACCTCTAGGAGCACCTGGGTGGCACCGTCAGTTAAGTGTCTAACTCTTGGTTTCGGCTCAGGTCATGTCTCAGGGTAGTGAGATCCAGCCCCGCATCGGGCTCCACACTCAGCACAGAGTCTGCTGGAGATTCTCTCTCTCCCTCTCCCTCTGCTCCTCCTGCTTGTGCTCTCTCTCTGAAATAAATAAATAAATCTTTTTTTAAAAAAAAATTTGCCTCTAGGTTTGTTGTAACGCTTAAATGAGATATAATGCAAAGCGCCTTGAGCAGTTACTTAGAATTATTTTTTCCTGTTCTATAATAGCACTAATTTAACAACTGTGGAATAAGGGAAAGTCGTGAAAACTTTTTTTTTAAAAGCTTGGTTAGGCACCTGGACCTGGAAGACTTGTTTTTCTGGGTGAAGGAATATTTTCCCTGGGTGAAGGTTTCATAATCACAGTCAAGCTGGCCCATGAGCGCTGCCATTTAAAGTGGCTCCTCTCTTTTATCTCTAATATACCTGCACCCTGGGAATGAGGACACAGATCCAGCTCCTGAGACTCTACAGGATAATCGCCCAAGTCTCTTTGAATTCTGTGTTGCCATGATCCCATGGTTTTGGATGCCCAGAGCGTGACATTGACAGTCTTTGAGTTTCATACCATGCAGAGTCATTTTTACTTCCCTGGGACCTCGACTGAGTTTAGAACAGGTAAGTGAAAGGGAAGGAGGCACACAGTGAAGTCGGCCATAGAACCAGTGTTCAACATGGTCATCTGAGAAGTAGAAAGTGAGCCTTTTTAAGTTTACCCAAGCCAGATCAGGTGAGTTAACCTGTGGAGTGGAGTGGAGGGTAGCCTTATACTTTTAAAAAATGGCCAGGGAAATTAAAATTTATCAGAAAAAAAATGAATTCCATCAAGACAAGGGCAAAGCCGTTTATTTAGGAGGGGAAAATGTTACCCAAGTAGAGAGAGACTTTCTGTGAATATGGGCTTGAAATAAAAAGAAAGGAGAGATAAATGACTTTCAATGAAATCCTGTCTGGAAAACATGTAAGTACCACTAATACCCCCAAGATCCCTAAATCTAGGCTTCTTTGGTCCCTGTAAAATTATAACACCTTCAGTGTATCTTTAACAGCTTTTTAGGAACATATTAACTAAATGTGCAAGTTCTGATCTGGCCATAAAATACTAGGAGAGCTATGATTCTCTAGGATTAATGAATAACATTTGTTTATTTGATTTACTTTAAAAAATCATTCTAAAATCTGTTTATGTATCTGTCCTCTCCAGGATGAACTTTATAGTGGTTCAGCAGACTGTTTACTGTTTCTTCTTCTACTACTACTTCTTCTTCTTCTTCTTTTTTTTTTTTTCATCTTTCCTGCTCAGTGCCCAACCCAAGTTCAAAGGCTGATGAGAGAGGAAAAAGTCATGAAGAGGTTTTACTCTAGGGAAAGTTGTTCAGTGGATGGGATCTTGGTGCATAGGGAAAGATGTTAGGCTCTTCCTGGCTCCTTCTCAGCCTTGCTGCTCTAACTGCTGCTCGATCCACCACTGAGGATCTGGTCAAGACATTTTTGGAGAAGTTTAACTATGAAGCTGAAGAGCTGTTTTATCAAAGTTCATTTGTTTCTTGGAATTATAACACCAATATTACCGACGAGAATGTCCAAAAGATGGTGAGTTTTCATGGCTACCTAGGGGTATTTGTTGCTTCTTAAGGGTTAGATTACTGCCTGCACAACTGAAAAGGGAAATCAAAGAAATGCTCCGAGTTGTGAGATTGGATGTTTGCTTCAGTATTTCTGATTCTGGAGTCCCAGATGACTAAAGTTAATTGACCTTGGGGCTCATTTGGAATCTGTTACAAAATAATTCACTGGTCTCAGTCCAGATTCTTAGAAACCAGTGAACATGCTTTGTAAAGTTGCCACTGTAATTCTCATCATAATCAGGGTTTCAAAGCATTTCATGGAAATGCCATAAGTTATTGAGTTAATAATTTTCTCAAGCCTACAATATCAACAGGAATATCTAAAGACTCTCTGAAATGATACATTAACCGGAAAATGCAATTGGAGGCTTAGTGAAAAAGCTAGCTAGTAATTAAAGTAACCATGGGTCTGGAGACTGGATTTGGGTGTTCCTTCCTTCATTGTCACGGAGCTCTAAGGGACTTCCAAAGGTCACAGAATCCATCCAGAGCCCTCGCAGAAAAACCATAATTAAGCCAGTTTTGACAAATCTCAGAATGCTCTGGGAAAGCAAGATGCTTTGACAAGGGCAAGGATTTAGGAATTTCTTCTCTCACCGGTCCCAAAGCAGTGTCCTTACACATTTGTGCTGGAAATTGAGCAACATTACTTAAGAAAAGATTTTTAGCGATACATTCCTTTGAAAATGTAGTTCAGATATTTTTTTCAAATGTTGACTAGGTTGTGTGTTTAAATTACTGCCACTCACAGGACAGATCCAACCTGAGACCTACCACCTCATTTGAAATACCCCAAGAGAAGGTTTCCCATTTTTCTAATGCTCAAGGAAATCCTGGAGATTTTGACAGCCCGGTGTGGTCATAGGAGGTCATTTGTTTCTTATCTCCTATTTTTTGGTCTTACCTTTCCTCATCTCTTTATTGTTGCTTTTTCCTCACTTTTTATTTGATCTCTGTTGGAGATGCCTATAGTGTACCGTGTATTTGTTTTCATTCTCAGCTGAATGGTCCCATAGGTGCTGGTGAAGTTGTACCAGCTTCATGCCTCAGGACTCTGGAGCCAGACTGCCAAGGTCCGGATCCTGGCTCCAGCGCTTTCCAGCTGGGTGAGCTTCAGCTGGTCAATTAACCTCTCTGCCCCTTCATTATTTCACCTGTGCAAAAGAGCATCCCTCTCCTGTCTGCCTTGGAGGATGGCTATGAAGCCCGAATTCATACCCAAAGCCCCCAGAACGGTGCTCGATGCTTGTGAGCATGGGAGAACAGCACAGTCTTACTGCTCTGAGTGTGGGAGGGAGTTATAACTGCTGAAGAGATATGTAACAGTTCTGCTGAGTGCCCTTTGCTGAGAAGGCATGTTATCGAATGAGACGGAGTGATGGTTGTTGATAGCATCTCTGGATCATTAAGTGTTATTACTTTTGAATTGCAGTGGTTGACGAGAGCCAAGGCCAGAGAGGAAAGGGCATAAATCACAAAGTGTGGCCAAGCTGCAGAAAGCATGGACCCTTTAAAGGAAAGTGAAAATATTAGAATGCAAAAAGGAAGCAGGAGGCCACCGGCTACGTGCAGGGATGGTAGTCCAGTGGTCAGGAGCCGCTGCTGCTGCTTGGCGCGAGCCAGGCACCTGGGTAAAAGAGCATGAAGCTAATTTTGGCTAACTCCTTTGGTTTGGAGCAGTTTCGTGGGGTTTCAGACCCAGTTATAGGATCTGGGGGATAAGGTGAGGTTTTTTTCCTTTGCTTTTACTATAGAGAGCTTTTAACGACCGCTTTACTGAGATATAATTTATGCACCATGAACTTCTCCAATTTAAAGTATACGATTCAATGCTTCTTAGTATATTTACAGAATTGTACAACCTTCACCACCATCTTCACCACTCCAGAAAGAAACCGCATGCCTGTCAGTCATCACTCTTCCTCCCAGCTCCTAGCCCTAAGCAACCACTAGTCTACTTCCTGTCTCCATAGGTTTGCCTACTTTGGACATTTCATATAAATGCAATCATACAGTACATGGTCTCTTGTGATTGGCTTCTTTCACTTTGCACATTGTAGCATGTAGCATTACTTCATTCCGTTTTGTTGCCAAATAGTATTCTGCCGTATGATTTTTCTTTATTTTTTATCATAAACATTTTCAAACATGTATAAAAGAAGAGAGATAAATATATTGAATTTCCTCATATCCATCGCCCAGTTTACAAATTATTAACACTTTGGCCAATCTTGTTTTACTTTTCTACTCAACCCCACACTTCCTGGAATATTTTGAAGGAAATCCAAAATATGATGTACTTTTATGTGTGTATTTCACCTTGTAGCTCTCAAAGTACTTTTAAAACAACCTTAATAACAGTACCGTGCCAAAAACTTAACAAAAACTTCTCAGTATCATCAAATATCTAGTCAGCATTCAAATGCACCCTATTTCTTTTTCAATTTCAGCTGTTTTGTCTGAATCAAGATCTAACAAGGTCCTCTCCTTCCAATTGTTTTGGATGATGTACTTTAGCTCTCTTTTGATCTACAGAGTCCCTCCCTCACTTTTCTTTTTTTTTTTTTTTTTTGCAATTTATTTGCCAAAGAATTAAATTTTGGGTGCTGTAGAAACTCCCACTTTTTGGACTCGCTGATTGTGCCCCCTAAATATTGCTTAACATGCTCTTTTGTCCCCTGCATTTCCTGTAAATGTATAGATCTAGGGCAGAGGGCAGAGCACTTTTTCTGTAAAAGGCCAGACAGTGAATGTTTCAGGCTTTGTGGGCTCTGTGGCCTCTGTTCAACTCTGCCGTTGTAGTGCGAAGGCAGCCATAGACAATACATAAATGAGTTTGACTATATTGTAATAAAACTTGATTTACAAAATCAGATGGTGGACAGAGTCCTGATCTAGAGATTTGATCAAACCCAGGTTTCACCCCTGAGTTATTTAATAGGTGTGGAAATTGAATTTCCACTACTAGCATGGTGCAGGAATATTGAGCCAAGAAATTAACAAAAAACTAGTTCAGGTCCCTAGAGCTCTGGAAGAAAGAATAGCTTGGGATGGAACAGTATGTCCTAGGGGGTCAAAATTCAAGGCAGCATCATGTAATTTTGGGGGGGGATTTAAAGTATAACACTTATAGTATGGTAGTAATAAATAAAACAGATATCTTCCAAGTATCTATATGCAGTATAATTAAAAAATGTTCTAAGACTGGGCCCTTTTGGGGATTGTGAGTTGTTTCCAGAGGAGGTTGAGAACAAAATTATTCTTATAATTTTGTATCAAAGTTTTACCAGAAATTTTGCTTGACAGTAAATCATCCTGGATTGGGTGAAGAAGGATGGGGATTGTAGAGGTAAGTGGTGGGTTGCATTAATGAGTCTGTGCCATAGACCAAACTCTTCTTTCCATAGCTCACTACTTCCCACTCGTGTGTTACAGAGAAGAACAGAATGTGTTGAATACCATCTATTGTCAAAAGTTAGGAGCGTTAGCTTTGGAGGTAAACATATCTGGGTTGGCACTCTGGTTCTTTCAAATTACTAGCTGTATGACCTAGGAAAAGCTACTTACCCTCTCCGTGCCTCAGTTCCCTCATTTGTGAAGTGGAGACAATCACAGCTACCTCACAAGATTGTGAAGATTAATTGAGAAGTAGTTCCTGAGGGGTTGTATGTGCTCAATAAAGAGAGAAATCATTTTCCATTTTTACTGCCACTATTTTCATCTCTTGTCTGATCCATTGTTTTCATGTCCACACACCATTCCCATCATGTCATGTGCCTGCTTGGAGCCCCTAAGTGATTCCCTAGAATTCAAATAATAGTCAAATTCCTTGGCCTGGAAAATGCAGTCATGCCCGAAGTCCCGCCTTTGGGATTGGTACTAATTATCTGTTTGTTAAAAATTACCACAAGCTTAACAGCTTAAAATAACACACATTTATTATCCCACAGCTTCTGTGGGTCAGGAGTCCAGGCACAGCTTAGCTGCATCTTCCATTTCTGAGTCTTATAAAGTTGCAGTCAAGGTCCTGGCCAGCACTGTGGTCTCAGCTGAGGCTTGACTGGGGATGAATCCACTTCCCAGCTAATGTGGTTAGTGGTAAGCATTCAGATCCTTGTGTGCTGCTGGACTGAGGTCCTTAGTTTCTTTCAGGATATCACCCAGAGGCCATCCTCAATTCCTCAACACGTGGCCCTTTCCAAAGGGTCATTCACAACATGGCATCTTGCTGCATCAAAGTCAGCAAGGGAGACAGAGTTTTAGCAAGATAAAAATAAGATTCTTTTGTAACATAAATATGTACATCCTGTCACCTTTGGTATATGCTACTGGCTAGAAGTGAATCATGGCTCCTGCTCACACTCAAGGGGGAGGAGGTCATACAAATGTGTACCACCCGGAGGTAGGGATCATGGGATCCATCTTAGAGTTTGTCTACCACAGGATCCAGGATCCAGATGCTGTCAGTTGATTGCCATAACCACTATTTCTCTCAGCCCCTTTATGCAGATGTGAATAATGGAGACAGAATGATTTTCTATCTCATGAGAGTAGGAAGATCAAATGAAGTAAATTATTCTACAAAGTACTCTGCATCCATCCAACTCCTACCTACTTTAGGGTCTTCTCCATGAGGGTTTGGCCAAATCTAGTTGCCTGCATGAGTCTTTTCTTATAGCAGAAACTGCTTGACCACTCAAAGTTTATACATTATCATATGCTCTTATATTTCATTAATGAAACATTTATGATGCATACCTTCTCTGTCTGATAAAACTGTAAGCAACTTAAGGACAAAGAACTTTTTCCTATAAATTATAAAATAGCTAACTTTTTTGAATGTTTAGGATGTATCAGATACTGTGATAAACATTTTATTATTTGTTAATTCTTCTCATCCTTACAACAACCCTTTGAGGTAAGTCCTACTATTACTCTCATTTTACAGATAAGGTAACTGACTCAGAAGGTAAGTAATTTGTCTAAAGTCACACAGCTAGTCAGAGGTATCTGACTACAAGAATGGAGTTCTTTTTTGTTTTTAAGATTTTATTTATTTGTCAGAGAGAGTGCACAAGCAGGGGGAGCGGCAGGCAGAGGGAGAGGAAGATGCAGGCTCCCCGCTGAACAAGGAGCCCCATGTGGGACTCTATCCCAGGACCCTGGGATCATGACTTGAGCCAAAGGCAGACACTGAACTTACTGAGCCACCCAGGCATCCCAAGAATGGAACTCTTACTTGTCTCATATGCTACCTCTTTTATATAGTCTAGAGAAGTACAATGTACAAAGTAATAGCTCATTTTCATCTTTGATAAATGGAAATGAGTTTGTACATTGAGAAAAGACTGTACTAGAGGAGTCTGGAGAAGTCCACTTGCCTATACTGATGTTCAAGATGGGGGGCAAGTGAATCCTGGCATCATCACCCGTTCGTTGGTTTCTTTTGCTGTTAGAAAATCACCATGGCTACCAAGGGGCCATATTCTGGGCAACCTTCTTTGGGGAACATAATTTAAGATCAGAATCTCTGGTAAGTCGTGGCACTATGGAGCTCACTGCAAACTGTTTCTGATTTCTTATGGTTCCAATTGTCATGAGGGGCTGTATCCCCATTAAGTTTGCTCTGAGCTTTACTGGGCCCTCCCTTTAGAGCATTCATCCTCAAATCCTTGATTAACTCACCCACGTCATAGTGCTAAGGCCATAAATTCCAGGGCCCCACAATGTGAATTATCTGTGAGAATTCATTTCCAGTTCAGGGGATAGGACCCTTGGGAAAACTAGGCACTGGGCCAGAAAGAGAGAGTGACCAAGAATGGCTTGGTCACTCATAACCTAAGCCTTGACCTTCAGCAAAGTAGAGAACTAAACCACTCAGGAAATATTAGATATTCCACCAGATGTTTTTTGGACAGTATCTTCTGTTCTATCTGTTCAAGCAGTGCCATTCTGACTTCAACTTTGTATTTTGTCATTTCAGAATGATGCTGGGGCCAAATGGTCTGCCTTTTATGAAGAACAGTCCAAGCAAGCCAAAACTTACCCACTAGAAGAAATTCAGGATTCTACAGTCAAGCGTCAATTGCAAGCACTTCAGCACAGTGGGTCATCAGTGCTCTCAGCAGACAAGAGCCAACGAGTATGTGAACATTTTAGCACTGACCCCAAGAGCTGAAATATTTGGGAAACATTAAACATTAATATCCCCATGGCTGCTTCCTTTATCTGCAAAGATAGTGATGCTGACATTAGAAAGAGCTCTGTGCCTAGGTAGGGTGACCACAGAATTTGTCATCCAAACTGGAATCCTTTCGCAAGTGAAAGAAGTCACTGGTAATAATTATGTTAGGACACAGAGTTAAACTGGTGTTGTCTGGGCACTGTGTTATATACGCATACCATATACAGAAGTCACCTTCCTGAGGACAGGCAGCCTGAAGAATATGCTTAGTCTATGTCAGTCGTGATCAACCGGGGGTGATTTTGCCCCCCAGGGACATTTGATGATATCTGGAGACATTTTTGGTTGTCATAACTGGGGGGGGAGGGCCAGCTATTAGCATCTAGTGGGTAGAGGCCAGGGATGGTGCTAACCATTCTACAATGCACAAGACAGCCCCCAATGGCAAAAAATTATGTGGTGCAAAATGTTAATAGTGCCAAGCTTGAGAAGTCCCGTATGTGGTCCAATTCTTTCCCCCTTTCATTTTTGACTCTTCTCTGCAACGTCTTTAACAAGTGGCTAAGAACCTCAGCTCAGACTGCTTTAGACGTGGCTGATTCATCTCTTTCCAAGACACCCATTCCATAGGTGGGCCCCCCTAATTGATGGAGATACCTCCTCCATTGAGCATTAAGTGCTTTACCTCCACTTTGTTCTGCCTCCTGGTCCAAATTGCTCTTTCCTACAATAGTTTTTAAATAAATGAAGGCAGCTCTATTTTTTTAAACAAGTTGAGTCCTTTTATTTTAATCTAGGCTAACTATCCTTCACTCTCAATTTTCCTCTATACAGTGGTTTCAAGTTTCCTAACCAGTGCTGGCTGTTGTCTTCATTATGTCAGTAACCTTGAACTAAACACCACACTCTGAGTTGGTTCCGGTCTGCATGAAAGTGCGCAGGAATATGACATTCTGCTTCCTGTGCCCTACATCTATTAAGACAGTCTAGGACTATATTAGGTTTTTGTTTGTGTGGGTTGGGTTTTTTGACAGTCAAATTCCATGTTGGCTCATATCAACATCGCTGTCAATGAAGTCTCCGAATCTCTTCCACCAATGTTGCTCTGAAATGATAGCTTTCAAAATTCTATTCTTAAGTAGGTTGTTTGTTCAAATTTAAGAAAGCCTGTATTCGCCCTGTTAAAATAACATCTCTCATCCCATCTCTCTAGCCTGGGAGCGAGCAAATGTTTTTCTGTAAAAGAAAAGATAGTAAATATCTTGGGTTTGGTGGGCCATATAGTCTCTGTCACGATGAGTTAACTCTGCTGTTGCAGCAGGAAATCAGCATAGCTAATACATAAACAAATGAGTGTGGCTGTGTTCCGATAAAACTTTACAAAAACAGGCAGCAGACGGTATTTGGTCTGCAGATCATAGTTTACAGACCCCTGATCTAACCTATTAAAACATTTTTATCTAAAATATTTGACTATTTAACATCAAAGTCTTCTTTCTCAGTTGCTTGTCCTCTGGAACTCTGTTGTAATCCCCATCTATAAAAAGAAAAAAATTCATGATAAGGGCAAAGATAAAACCATATGGCACATATCTTCCTACAAGTTGATATTTATTATTCCACATTCTTTGGATCCAATTATCCAACTCCTTGTTAATACACTTTATCTTATCCATTCCATGCTTCCCCATGTTTTTCACAAAGACACTGTGTGAAACCTTGCCCATTGGTCTTTTAGAGTCTAGACAGCTAGATGGAACCTGGACACTATTTTTATAAGATCCCAGGTAATTCTAATGTGCAGCTAAAGTTGAAAACTGCTGAAATGCCTGTAAAAGCTTGGAGTGTTTGGGAAGAGAGGAGACTCAAGGATGCATGAGTTCGATGGAGAGGAAGGAGGAGAGATTGAAAAAGCAGGTAGACAAAGAGACCATGAGGAATTTTGTGCCATGGTAAGGAATTTGGATTGATTCCTTTGGACTATGGGATCTTGTTGAAGTTTTAAGCATGGGATCTATTTCATGTTCTAGGATAATGACTCTTGTAGCAGAGTGAAAGAATAATGGAAGAGGGAACAGGAGAAGGGGAACGGAGTCTTTCATCCAGTGCTTCTTAAATCAAATGTGGAAGAGAACCATTTCCTCCCCTCCCCTCCCCTTCCCTTCCCTTCCCTTCCCTTCCCTTCCCTTCCCTTC